GAGAGGGAGAGAGAGGAAAAGAGGGAGAGAGAGAGAGATAAGGTCGAGTCACCCAATCATACCTGACACTCAACAAACATTTCATTGCTCACTGATTCTGAATTCCTCTCAAGTTTCCGTTGCTCACTCCCCAAATCCTCACGTTCTTTTTCTAAAAACATTATCTCTTCCTCCAGATTATTTTCCACCATTTCTGGGTCAATTTCATTGTTGTTCCTCACAACTTCCTCATCTTCCAATGAAAAGCCACCGTATAGTTTCTCATTGGCCAATTTATTCACACCATCCACACCACTTACCGAATCAACAGCAGAGAACGGAAGTCCTGAGGCATTGCAAGTATGGTCAGTTGATTCTGCGCAAAACATTTCTTGAGCAGGAGCTGAAGACAAACTCAACACAAAGCCACCTTCACTAAGATTGTTCAATGACTGCTTTCCGGAAGTAGACGATCCATCCTCCTTTGCAGGTTCTGAGTTTTCATTTAAGGGATTCAATTCAGCAAATTCAACAAATTCAGCAGATTTCACCCCTTTACAGTTCAACTCAGGGGCATTAATTGAATATGGCTTCCTTACGTTGGCGGCAGAGGCTTCACTACCAGACCCTTCTTGTTCAGCTTCATTAACGAGCACTCTATTCTCATCCTCACTAACCATCTCTTTATATCCACCTTTTGATATCACATTATCATCATGAAAGTCACTCATCAATTCACGACTCCCAGTATCCTCAAGGCTTGTAATTAATGCCTCTCGAATATTATCTTCTCCTTCCAGAGCACCTTTTGTTACTTCAGAGGCTTCAATCTCAGGCCCTTCTTGTTCTCCTTCATTAACAAACACCAGATCTTCATCATCATTTACAATCTCTGCATCACCACCTTCTGATATCATGTTATCCTCAAGACTTCTTCTTATAGCCTCCTGAATATTAGCTTCTTCTTCTAGAACACCCTTTGTCACAGTTCTCTGGACCTCATATGACGACTTCAATTCACTATCTTGAAACCCTCCATCCTCCCACTCAATGTCTTCCTCCTCAGCCAGAACCCCTTCACGAAGACTTTTATTTTCAATTACTCCTTCCTCCCACTCATTATCCGAGTCCGGATTTGAAGTTTGAGAGAAGTCCTTTACTGGGTCTCCAGCCACCAAACGAGCAAATATGTTATCATCATCATTTTCATTTTTATGTTCATTATGCAACGTATCCTCAAACGAAATCTCTAAAGAGATCCCCTTTATTACCTCATTATTCTTATCAGTAACTTCTCGATGAAGGGTTTCATCAAATGCATTGTCCAGGATATCAACTGGATTTTTTTTTCTAATGGATTTACTATTTTTCTCCTGACTCGTGCCTGCTTTATCCCCATCAATCTCATTCATTAGATCCAAATTCCTCTGCAAATCCCGAGTCATGCGAATCCCTAGTGCTCTCACCCTACTGACTCGCACACGACCTCTCTCATCCACATAAGTCTCGACATCTTCGTGAAAACCTTTTTTTCCTGTTTCAGCAGCAGCAGTTGGTCCAGCTACACCCCGGGATTTTCTGCTTGAAAGAATTTCATTGACAGCACTGGTGGAAGATTTTGCTGGTGGGGCCCGACTTTGGATGGCTTCGGATCTCTCTTGGCCGATAGACATAAAGGCTCTGATAAAAATCAAGAGTCCAAAATTTAAAAATAGAAGACAATAACGTTAAAATTTATATATTACTTAACTGTTTGTCTCCGGTGAATGATGAGGAAAATATATATTCCCGATTGGCCTCAGATGCAATTCGTGAAGTCTGCACGCCACCTATTCCTTTCCCTGCAGCAGCCTTTTGGACCCCATCTATCTCACGGCGGAAAGCAACTGTCTTGAGATAAGACTCTATCTGAAGTTCTGAGAACCTTGACGGAGCCTAAAAACATAGGAACAAAATTTTTAAACCAAATTAAATTAAGCAAAAAAATCTTTGATTTTCCTCTGTTAAGCACATCATCTTAATAAAGAACTAGCAGAAACGTGAATAAAAGTGTTATCAACAATCATGTTTTTCTTGAAGGAAAAAAAAGATATCGAACAGTTCATACCTTTTTCACCTTCTGATACTTCTGCCTGTTCTCGGCCATCAGTCTCTCTCTCATCTATAAAAAGTGTCATCAATTAACATAAAAACAATCAAATTAACATAAACAACTCATTATTCAAGAAAAAGTTGATAACTGCAGAATGAAAATAATAGTGGAAATGCATAGACACCTGAACAAGAAGATCAAGTTGCATGGACGGAGGTAAACTAGCCAAGACTGCAGGATCAACATTTCCATGCATCTCTGGCTAAAAGACAAATATGGCACAAGAGGGTACGATTAGAAGAAATAAAAAATAGTAATAATAAATATAGTGCCAAATAATTAGAAGAAGCAACCAATAGATCTCCCGACCCATCAAGAAACATAGCCTTACTAGAATCATTTCTTCATCTTCATCATCATCTTCTTCGTCTACAAAAAGAGCTTCGTCATCCTCAACCCCAGCACCTGATGTTGACGCATTATTAGTAACACCCTCATTCTCCTCCGCAGCAAGAGAAGCCGCTAGCCTAAATCATCTAGTCGTGAAAAATAAGAAAAAAAAAATCACATTTACAAATTACCGAAAACAGAATCCAGATTAAACTCACATAGCGTCCAATTCTTCCTGAGTCTGACTGGCAACCACATTGGAATTTACTTTTTCCTTCTCCTTCTCCTTCTCATTACTTGGTGTATCTAGGATCGGTTTTTTACCCTTCACGTCATTCTCCTGCCTCTGCTTCTCAAGGTCCGCTGCCAACTCTTTCAACTTCATTTGCTTAAGCTATTCATGGAAAATAAAAAATTACTCCTTTGAGATAACAAACAAAACCGCACCAACCTCAACTAGAATATCATCATCAATTCATGAAAACCATTAATAGGTTCACGAGAGCTAACAAAACAGCTCACACAAGTAATAATCAAGAATAAAATAGAAGTAAGAATGAAAAAGGAAAGTCATCTGTATAAATTAAGACTTTCCAAATTACAGATTTAAAGGAAACCAATAGAACGAGTCACCTGATTGAGTAGCAATTTCTCAGCAGTCTTTCTGATCTTAGCCTGGGCATTCTCCCGCTGGCGGCGGCGGGCAATGACCGTTCTCCGCTTAAGAGATGGCGTACCACCGTCAAATACGAAAACCGGCTTCGTCCTGAGGTAAAGAAGCTTGCAAATTCGGCGGAAAAATCCCAGTACGTGTGCATTTCGAACCATCTCTCCCTTCTCGTCTCGCATAGCCTTCATGAACTGTATTATCCATATACTCGCGTCTACATAAATCAGAGAAAGAGAAGAAAAAAATAAAAAAAAAAGAATTAAAGAGTGAATAAGTAGCGCCATAGCGGGATCGGGGCTAGGGTTTTAGGAGTACCAATTGCGAGCCTTTTCCCGGCGAGGGTTTCGACGGAGACTCGCCGGCCAACGGGGGCCAGCAGTTCCCATAGGCCGTGGACACCCATCGGAAGGTTATCGGGTCGGTCCTTTCTTCCCGGCGACGATATAGAAGTTGGTATACGTGGCGTCGTGTTACTTCATGTCCGTTTTTAAGAGGGAATTATCAGGCTCCCTCCTAAAATGTCGGTTTGTTCGCCCGGGGACGGGACAGTTGATCGTTAATTGGGCCAAGAATATTGGGCTTCAAACGCTCGGCTTCAAATCTCAATTCTCGAGCTGTACTTGGGCCCTTTCCGGCCTGACTCCAAAGAAGCCCACAGAAAAATCTGTTCCGATAGCTACTGGAAAGCCACGTCACCAGCGTCACATGCCGAGCACGTGGCCCTCTGAAGCCAAAAATCCTTCAAACAGCAAAAGCAAAATTGTTTGCTTTTTTTATTTTAATTACCATTTATTTCTACTTTTGTTCTTCTGTTCATCTTCAACACGCACAATTGCTCGTACTTGCGCCTGCCCTTTGATCTGACAATCATCTATCCGTTTCTGTAGATAATCGGTTAAGTGTTTTTTTGCATACTGAGTTTGATTGATTCTATGTACCATGATGTGATTCTTGAGTTTTAGAGCAGGAATATGTGTTATTGGTAAAATTACAATGTTGTTTTGAGTACGATGATATGTGGGGGTTTCGTTTAATTACCTAAATCCAATTATTTTTTATGTGGTTGGTGGAATTTTGGATCGAATTGAGCTTTTAACACTTTTCTGCAGATAGAACTTTATTTTTCTATTTTTATTCTAATTTAGGGGAATTAGTTAAGTGCATAAGATGGTTTGTGCATTGTGTAATAATTTCCAAGAAGTTGAACATGAGAAGGGATGAATCAGAAATCAATATTTTGCTGATTTGCAGTACTCTGTGAACTTGGCCTGTACTGAGTTACCTCTATGCATCACACTGCATAGGTCTAGTTGATCTTGATGTTGTTTTTGTTGTTATTTTTCTTTTTTTTCTTGTTGGGAATTTGATTATTGAGATGCATTTGGTTGGGACCTCTCACTTTATATAGTTCGACATTATAACGGTTGGCTTCTTTGATTGTCACTTCATTCTTGAAGACAGCCACGGTAAAGCCAACACGCTTTATCGAATAAGTTGGAACATTTTGTTTGTGTATGAAAAATACCATTATAACACATTGCAGAAAAACACGATTTTCCATAGTTGATTGTTCCATTCGTTTCGTCGACTTTGTAAGAGGCTTATTTTATATTTTCAAAGTCATATAATATAGTGGAATCTATGAGGACCCCTCTCAATATTTTCTCAACTCCAAGTAACTTTTGATTCAGTATTTGGGCCATTTTTTTTTTATTTTTTATTTTCTTCTTTTCTGCTCCTTTTTAGACCATATAAGGTTTGCTCTTTCGACAAAATGTCATCACCAAGCAAGAGGCGAGATATGGATGTCATGAAACTGTGAGCCTAAATCAATGGTTATTTCATATAATATTCGCCAATTTATTTATCGGAATTAGATTCTTCAACATATTGCATTTGTTATGAGCCTCTCATACTATACTTCATTTATTTGTAGAATGATGAGCGACTACTCCGTGGAGCCCATTGAAGATGGCATCAACAAGTTCAATGTGGAATTTTATGGCCCAAAAGAAAGTAATGTTATCACTTTCTTTTTTTTTTCCTTGAATTTTGTTCATTAGATGTAATTTTTCCTCTCTAGTTGCCTTGTTCAGCAGTAGTATTTTATTGATTTGTTTGTTTTATTTGCTTCTTGCTGAACTAACCTGAATGGTGAATGTGCTGTAAGCACTCATTGCAACTTTAACTATCTGGATTGTTTTCAGTTCTTTAGACAGCAATGGTGAATGGTGATTCTATCATATAGCTTGTTTTGTCTATTTTATATTTTGCTCCTCCATTTTCGTTAAAATGCTGTTGTGCTCCCGGAAGGCTCTGATATTTATTGCTCAATATGAAATTTTGCTGTTTCTGCATAATTCATTGCTACCAGGGAAATTTCGCCATTTCATTGCCGTATTTTGTAAATGGCAATACATTCTTCAAACTTCCACGCTTCATAAGATTGTTTGTAGGTCCCTATGAAGGTGGATTTTGGAAAGTTCGTGTGGACCTTCCGGATGCGTATCCTTACAAGTCTCCTTCCATTGTGTTTGTCAATAAGATCTTCCACCCAAATGTTGACGAGCAGTAAGTTGTTTCAAAGGCTTTCTGTCATAACTTCTTCATGATTGTAATTGATCTCCGAATGCTTATTTCATAACTTCTTCATGAATGTAATTGATCCCCAAATGCTTATTTCTTGCAGAAATGATTCAATCTAATTTAATATATTAGTTCCTTTCCCATTTCTTTCCTCTCCACTGAATTATATTATCTTCCCATACTTATCGGTTTTGGCTTTTTTGAATGCATAGGTCTGGTTCTGTATGCTTGGATGTTATTAACCAGTCATGGAGTCCAATGTTCGGTAAGGTTTAACTTTAGTGAAAAAAAGTTTTGATTTCTCCTCTATTGTATCTTCTGGTGGTTGATAAACATAACTTCTAACAATGGTAGTAAACTTTTACAAGAACTTAATAAAACTGCTTTTAAAATCAGGTAGTTTCATTACTAGTGTGAAGTTTGGTTCTTCCCTGACAAGTGTACGTATTTAATAATATGCAGATTTGTTGAATGTGTTTGAGGTTTTCCTCCCGCAGCTTCTACTCTACCCGAATCCATCGGACCCACTTAACGGTGATGCAGCATCACTGATGATGAAAGACAAAGCCAAATATGAACAAAAAGTCAAAGGTG